ATCCAGAAGGAGTCGACCCTTCACTTGGTCCTGCGTCTGAGGGGAGGGATGCAGATTTTCGTGAAGACCCTGACCGGGAAGACGATTACCTTGGAGGTGGAGAGCAGTGATACCATCGACAATGTGAAGGCCAAGATCCAGGACAAGGAGGGTATTCCGCCAGACCAGCAGAGGCTCATCTTTGCTGGGAAGCAATTGGAAGATGGGAGGACACTGGCGGATTACAACATCCAGAAGGAGTCTACCCTCCACCTTGTCCTGCGTCTCCGTGGTGGCTTTTAAAGGGTCTTCTGTCTCTTGTGATGCGTCAAAGGTTGTTGGTGTTTGATTATGTTTGAACTTTGAAGATGTTTTAAGTTTCTGGTCTTGAAAGAATGGTGTAGCCTAATGACACCTCAGTTTAAGTTTTTTCCTTTTGGTTCATCTTCGAGTACTGTGTTGGCCGTGGTGGTCATTTGAACAGTGATTCTCTGTCGGTTTCTTGCTGTTGGAATGATGAAGTCGAACAATGTTAATAAAGCCTATGGTTCTTTCTGTCTTGATATACTTGTTTACCTCTGTGCATTTGATGGTATTGGTATCATATGCAGAGCTTTTGGTTTTGGCAAAGTTAACTGTTACTCATATCTCAGAGGTATGCAACTAGCAAGGTTGAGCTGCTTGCACTTAACCAGGTTGCATGTGCATTGTTTTTGTTTTTATTTCAATTTCTGCAAATTCCTATGCTCCTAGCAACCTGCATTTGACGAAATTAGAATGATGGGTCTCTCATCTTTATTAATGCCCATTGCACAATGGGTACTTAGTTTAATCCATGGCTTACTGTTTAAGGTTACCCACAGCAGAATGTATAGTCACTTTCACTAGCGAAAGGAAAAGAGTTTAGCCGATGAATGCGACCTACGAATATGAGACGATGACTCCACCATGTCCACGAACTATCTCACCTTATTGAAGGTTGTCAACCCGCGGTAACCCGATTGATGGATTCGATGACCCAATGGAATGAACCACTGGAACTTGTGGATAGTGGACAATCACTGGAGCTTGACATATTCAATAAGTCACTGAAGTCCAAGGGCAGCACAGCTCATGTATTTTTGGACTTCTGCTTAACAAAACACACTATGCCAAAACAATGAAGCCTTAATCAAGAGAATTACTAAAAACATTTGTAGAATAAGGTGGCTTTTAAACTCAGTTCTGCGAGATCAGTTTACAACCATAAATTGTCCTTAATGTTTAAGTAAAACTGTAAAAGCAGAAAGTACGCTTTGAACTCTTGCCATGAGTTGTGCAGGCTTCCAGTTCCCCCCTCTGCATATCTCGTAGAATTCTCAGTATGGGAATATGGGGATCATAAAAAAAATCCATGTGTGGCTGCTGGGATTCGAGCCCAGGTCATCACGGCCACAACGTGATATTCTAACCACTAAACTACAGCCACTTTTGATGATTATAAAGGCCTGTAAATTTATTGAACAAATGGCACTAATCCATCTCATATAGTTACTAAGACACGTCTATTGTTGCTACGAAATTTCAAATATCACCTCTATGTTTATTTCCACTAAATGTTTTCAAAAAGTTAGTTTTAGGAGAAACTAGAAGGAACGCATCATTTTCCTTTTCCTTTTCCTTTTCATTTCATTGAATTTACAACTACAATTGCATTACAGATGATTAACAATAAACATAGAGTTCATAAGTTTTCGAAATCTATTCTATCGAACTCTATTGATTTTAGTGTATTGTATGTCTTGACGAATAAGGAACCTTTTGAACCTAATAATATGGGGGTGTTTATTTGGTCTTTATCATTGTACGGTGAAATTGCGGGTAGGAATTGATGAATTTATCACTTTGATGTGATTTGTTAAATTTTATTAAAATTTATAAGAGATCCGGAGATGTAATAGGACCCGGACCACGGATCCAAACATTGCCTAATCCCTTGATTTTCTGTTTTTTTTATTTTACTGCTCGTTTTAATTAGCTAGTTCCACTCCCTATCAAAGGGGCAGGTTGCGGTGGATCATTATAAATCGATGTTCACTTCTGAAATCGATCCGGGGGATGTGGTACAGGCATTTGATCATCTTCATCCACGGTTGATTCTACCATGAATAACATGCTTCTGGCCCCGTTTACGACACAGGAAATTAAGCAAACCGTTTTCCAAATCGGCTCCACCAAAGCCCCGGGCTCGGATGGATTCACTGGTCTTTTCTTTCATCATTACTGGGGATATAGTAGGGACTTCGGTCATCCAAGTTGTGCACTCTTTCTTTCGTACTAGGCATATCTTGCAATCTTTTAATCATACCTGGCTAACGTTGATTCCCAAAAATCCAAACGCCAGTTCTTGTGCGCACCTTCGACCAATTGGTCTCTGTCAGGTGTTCTATAAGATCATTTCCAAGCTTTTAGCTACCCGCCTTGGAGCAATCTTGCCTCAAATTATATCTTCTTACCAGAATGGGTTTGTCAAAGAGCGGTCCATTATCGATAATGTGTTGATCAGTCAGAAGGTTATGACTTATCTTCAGAATAAGCGTACTGGCCGGGAGCGTTTTATGGCTCTCAAACTTGATATGGAAAAGGTCTACGATCGGATTGAATGGTCTTATTTGTTTCGAGTACTGGAAAATCTTGGCTTTATCCGAAATTGTCTTTCAACGACGTCTATCTCTGTTATGCTGAATGGTAGTGCGTATGGCTATTTCACTCCTTCTCAAGGTTTGAGGCAAGGGGACCCTCTCTCGCCTCTACTTTTGGCGCTTTGCACTGAAGGGTTTTCTGCTCTGATCTCCCAGGCTATTTCAAGGGGTGATCTCAAAGTGTGCGCTTTAATCACCATTGCCCAGTTCTTTCACACTTGTTCTTCGTGGATGATGCTTTCTTATTTCTCCGTGCTTCGCCAAGGGATTGTCATTTCCTCCTACACCTTCTTCACCGATTTGAGCATATGAGTGGGCAACGGGTTAATTTCTCCAAATCGGCGGTGGTTTTCTCTAAAAATACGTTAACGGATGAAGCCTCCTCTTTTGAAGCCTTACTCCAGGTGGGAGCCATTGGTGTTCGTGATCGTTATTTGGGGCTCCCTTCTCTCATTCGTCGCTCTAAGCGTGACACTTTTCGTTATATTGAGGAGGCGTTGGCCAAACGTCTTCAAGGGTGGAAGCGTCGTTGTCTCTCTTTGGCCGGATTGGAAACGTTGATTAAGGCTGTTGTTTCAGCTTTACCTGTTTATGCCATGTCTTGCTTCCGCCTCCCAAAGGAGTTGTGTCGTAATCTTAATCGCATGATTGCTCGGTTTTGGTGGGGACAGCAAGGCACTGAACGTCGTCTACCTTGGATTTCGTGGAAAAAGTTATGCTTATCAAAGGCCGCTGGGGGGCTAGGCTTTCGGGATTTCTCTACATTCAATCAAACTTTATTGGCAAAACAGTGTTGGCGTATTCTTCATTCTCCTGATTCGCTTGTTGCTCGTGTGTTGAAGGGTCGGTATTTTGTTCATGGAACTTTTCTTTCAGCCACTACTGGCTCCACTCCGTATTGGGCTTGGCAGTCTCTTCTGCATGGTCGTGATTTACTTGTTCATGGGTTACGTTGGGAGTTCACTCTGGTGATTCCATTGATGCATTCACTGATCCTTGGGTACCTACTTTACCCGATTTCCGTCCTACTTGTCTTCCTTCTGTACAGGTTTCTCCTTTGTTTGTTTCTCACTTTATTTCTCCTACCACCTCAACTTGGCGTGAGACTCGTTTACTTGATTTTTTTGATTCATCTTCTGTTCAGAGCATCCTTGCCATTCCCCTTCCCCGCACTTTGTCTCCGGATAAGTTTGTTTGGCATTACACCACCAATGGCGTTTTTTCCGTTAAGTCGGCCTATCATCTTGGTCTCCAAATTAATGCTCTTTCTGCTCCTCATTCATCTCGGTCGGTTGACTCGTCCTCCCCTCTTGATCCTTCTTTGTGGCCAAAAGTTTGGTCCTTACCGGTTATGCCAAAGCTCAAGTTTTTCCTTTGGAGAATGCTACTTCGGATTCTACCGGTTCGAGAGGATTTACAGCGACATGGTCTTGATGTTCCATCCTTTTGTCCAATTTGCGAATCTGATGAAGGAGAGTCTCTTGAACATCTGTTTATTCGTTGTCCTGTGGCTATTCGTCTTCGTGATGCAATTGGCCTTTCGCTACCGCTGGGTTTTGATCCTTCTTACCATTTCGCTCTGTTGTGGCGAAGTTTATTATGCCATGCTGCCCCGGATATCATCTCTGATTGGCTTCTTCTCTGTTGGCGTCTTTGGAAAGGGCGTAATAATGTTGTGTTCTCTCCTTATGCCCAATTCACCGTCCCTGTTCTCCGTCGTCAATTCCTTTCCCATCGCTACTCCAACCGTCTTGCCATTGTCTCTCCGGCTCCTCAACCTCTTTCGTCGTCATGCAATAAGGCTTCATCGACAGTTATTACTGGTGCTTTTCAAGGCCTTCGTTTGGCAGTTGATGGAGCAACTTCTCCCCATCACTCTGGTGCCATTGGTATTGTCGGTCTTACAGGAGTTGTTTCGACATTTGCTTTTGGTTCTTTTATTCGAGGAGTGTCGGATCCTGGCTTGGTTGAGTTGCTCGCTATACGAGAGACACTATATTTGCTGCAACGGTGGCATTGGCATGATCGGGATGTTTTACTTACGGGAGATGCCCAAGTGGTCATTGACAAGCTGGTTTCGGGTAATTTATCGGATGCACGTGCTGGCGCAATTTATTCGGAGGTTCATGCATTACTATTCCAATTGCCAAAAGTTGTTTTACAATTTACTCCTCGAGATGCGAATCGGGCTGCCCATTTAGTGGCGCAACATGCCCTACGCTTTCCTGGATTACCTTCATTGTTATTCGACTTCTCTTATTTGTTTTATATGTCTTTTGATAAGTGAGTGTGACGGTTATTGTGGCTACCCTTATCCTTGCCTTGTAAATCTACCAAGATTTCTATGGAAAAAAAAAATTTAAAAAAAAATTTAAAAATCGGGGAAGACCGACGGAAAAATTGAATCGGCAATTCGGCATTAGTACGCAGGGAGAGTTGCCGCCTCTTCCCGGCGTGTTGGGCACCGCGCTTTCTGCCTCCTTATATCTCTTTTGTGGATTCTTGAGTACTCTACTCACTCTCAGGGAAAGAAGAGGAAGAGACACCATCTGGGCGAAGATGGCCGCTTCGCTTCCACTGCCGCTATGTGCCCTTCTTCTTCTCTTGTCTTCCATCTTCGTCCTATCTCATGCAGCAGCCTACGAAATGGCCACATTGGAAGGTACAATGGGTTTCTGTCAATCTACTCTCTTCGCACAACCCAAATGCGGTGGGTTTTCTAGCTCTTTGTTGCTTTGGTTTCCAAGAACTCGCTTCCCGCTCCCTTTTGATATCTCCGCTTTTTGCTTCTTGGTGGTTATGGTTGTTACTATTGGCTTCGGAGAAATTGGGGGAGCTGAAGGGGTTGGTTTGGCTGTTAAGTATTCTCATCTGTAAATTCCCTGCGTCTTAGCTTTTAATTTCATCCATCTTTTCAATTAAGGTGATATGCCGAGGATTTTTGTAGGGCAAAGTACAATGCAAATGATTGTATACACTTGTTGGAGAGAATAATGTTAGGGGATTGCGGTTTAGGTTTCCCTTTGTGGAAGTGCATTGAGAAAGATTGTCTCGTACTCTATGCTAGTTGTGGCAGTACACTGTAATCGTCAAGGGCAAAAGGCTTAGACACGATCCTCCGAGAAACCTTTCTTTGATGCCTTAGTTGCCATTATGAAAACTAACGTACAATTTGCTTGCAGGTGTTGATCTAGGAAACCCAAGACGGATCCATTTTAGCTCTCAGTATGGACATTCACCTGGCCGCGATCCAAAAGAAGCATTGTTCTGTGAACGAGTTAAAATTTCTGGTCAATCAAGACTGAAACTTGCTAGCTATTCTAGCGCTCTCAGGGTTACACTCGTACCCTTTCCTGTTATTTCCGAAAGACTTCATCGAAGGATTCATGTTTGTTTCCACCGGTAAGTGAATATATATCTGACATTAAGGAAACCTTCAGTTGCAGTTTTGCACTTTTGCTGTTTTAATCTGATTTTTAAGGACTGTTCAGGAATGCTTCACTTGGACGGTGTGATTGTGAGAAAGAAGAGTGGAAAACTTTTCAAAATGCTCAATGGAGTTCAGTCATGTCTCCTTATCAGGAGAGATATATTGATGTGAAGACCACTGGAGGAATATCTGGTGGCGGTATCACTGTCCAGCTTAAAGAAGGTAATATTTCGCTTTGTCATCTTATTGGTCCTTGTTCAACTCCTTGTCTTCTTAGATATCCTTTATTATCATCACTCTTCTTTTGACTGTGCAGAATCACAAAGGTGGCGCCTCTTGTGTCTGGCAGTGGGATTCATATTGCTATTGCTTGCACCAATAGTCAGCAGCTGGGTTCCGTTCTACTATAGCACATCAATGGCTATTGGCATTTTTCTTGTCATCATCATTCTTCTATTTCAGGTATGCTGTAATCTCAATTATCTGGTACAAATCTTCATGAAACTCCTCACTGTCTAATTCTGTGTAACTGTGTGTTACCTTGGATTATTCTTTAGCTTTTATTTGATGGTCTAAGAAAAAGGGTGAAGTTACTTGTTCCCAAGAGTTTTTCAAGTCCATTATGATATGCTTAGTTGGTTTTCGGTGGTTATCCATTTTACCCTCCAAACGCTAGCTCCCGAACAGGGTTTGTTGTCTCTATATCATGTGATTAAGATCAGTGCATGATTTGGTTTGTTTTGTTATACAGAAACTTCCAAACTCTTATCTAGATGATTATAGGTTGGCTTATGTTTGGGATGTTCTATTTATCGAATCATTTTGAATGGTAACTAGATGGCAGACAATTTGAGATGATGTGACTTAACTTGGTCCGTACGATTCCATTTTCTGGTTTCATCCTCCTAGTTTTCTTATTCCATAAATAACACTTACTGTCTAATCTTCAGGGTATGAAATTACTGCCGACTGGAAGGAAAAGTGTCCTCTATCTCTCAATATATGGCTCAGTGGTGAGTGGACTTGACCTCTTCTTTTCTCTTTATCTGCTATTGGGTAAAGGTCTCACTCCTCAATTTTTGGTTACAGCTTGGGGTTGGCACCTTCATTTTGCATCACATATCTGAGCTCATCAATTCTATTCTTCTTAATTTTGGGCTTGATGAGGAGATGCACAATCCGGTGAGTCCAAAACTTCATTTTCCTTGCCCACAATTTGAATAACATTGTTTGATGAATTCTAGGAAGATCACATCTTAATGATCTTATGTATTGTCATATTTCTAGGACTTGACTTTATGTATTTCATGATTTTCTAAACATAGATATAATAATAGAAACCACTGTGTTAAATATACATGCATGTTTGATGGCTCATGTCGGGTAGTTTTTTTTTGTATGAATGGAAAATCATCCCTCCTGATGTGGCCTTATCTTATTTGCAGGTCTACATATTTGTATTAGTAGGCATTGTGCTTGCCGGAGCAGGATTAGGGTATTGGATGGTTAGAAAGTTTGTTGTTGCAAAAGATGGAAGTGTGGACCGTGGTGTAGCAGAGTTTGTTAAATGGGCTATTCGGGCGATTGCAACCACCTTTATCTTCCAGGTATCGCATTCGTATCTTTCTTATTATGCCTAGTTTCTTCAGAACTTTGATATTTATTTGACATGCTATGGTGAAGCCTCAGTACTCCCTGAATGTGAAAATGAGAAGAATGAAATTAGATAATGTTTTGTTGGTTTACAGAGCACACCTGATCCTCCATTAGCATTGCTTGCTGTGGTCTTAACGTACACCATATGCTCCCTTATCATAAAGTGGATGAGGCAACCTAGGTAAGTTCCCCCAAAAAAGTTTATGTACTTCCTACCGTCTTCCCATTTTATAATCTAGTGACACGTCTTTCTAATTTTGTGCAGGTACAAGTCAGGGAGGGCTGTAGGAAAGCAGAGCCGGGCTGAATTCTACAGCAGATCAGCCACAGCAACAGCTAAAATGAGTCCTGGAGGGAGAATGCCAGGTGCTTGGATGAACTCCCCAGTCAAAGGTATACACATTTTCTGCAGCTACTGGTACTATGGAACCAAGGTGTGTATAATGTTTTTTCGTGTAACTTCTCCTGTTGTTTGTTTTAACAGGTTTGGTGACATCATCATCTGCTGCTCCAGCGCAGCATGGCAGCACTGTGATGGATCAGGATTATTACTCAACCTTCCATAAAACAGCAAAGAGAAAGAAGTTCACAAAGGAAGAATGGGATGAGTTCACCAGGGAGTCAACAAAGGAAGCAATGAGAGAATGGGCATCATCTCCTGAAGTGGCCAGTTGGCTGATCAACAATGCTGACCGGATTCAACTCCTTCCAAGCGATTGCAGTTCAGACGAAGAGGCATCTGGCAAAGACAGTGAGACAGACTCGACCGAGGAGAATGCATCTAGTATCCAAGGTGGTAAAGGGCTTAGCTGTTTATTCAGCTGGTGAGGAAAAGAGAAGAAATGAGGCTGGATCATGGCGACGTTGTTTTAGGTTCTTTCTGTGGCAGAGTGCTGATCTGAAAAGAAACCCAAACACAGGTGAGTAGGTTTTTCATGTTTTCGTCCACCCTTTACACTCGAGAGTAGTCCTTTCTGATGTTGGATGAGGCCTGAGGGTAACAGAGAAAGAAACATGACACTATAGGAGAGGGCTTTGAGCTGATTTCTTGAGGAGAAGCTTTAACTAGGAGTAGGAATAGATTGTTTGTAGGTAACTGCTTCTTCCTTGTGCATAGTATGGTGTCATTTGTACTTGAATCTTGATGGAGAAAATTCAGTGTTTTCCCTGAGCATGTATGAATTGTGATAGAGTTAGAGTGTAATTGACAGGATGAAATTGAATGCATAGTTCTCTGTATATATTTTGACTATTTTGAGTGCATGGTTAAAATGGTTTGTCAATTTTGACTATATATATTTGGAATTGGCAGACGTGGCACAATTGATGGCAGAATGTCTCCCTATGTCTCCCAACTATCCACGTGCCACTGTCTGAGTGGTTCACAGAATCCACTAGCCTGCCCCAAAATCCATTTCCATCAAGGATTTCTGCTCCCTCCAAGCTTTCTCCACCACTTAATCCCCAACCCCACTCCCTCCCTATTGACTCTGTCACTGTCCAGAAAACTTCAAACCCAGAAACTAAGAATCAAAGCTAACAACAACTCATGATTCAGAATTCCCCACGCCCACCCAATTTCCCCGCCATTCCATTCCTCTTTATTCTTCGCTCTTTCTTCTGGTTCTTCTCAAATCATCTCTCCCCATCAACCTTGAGTCCCCTTTTCAATGGCGATCCCCTGTTCTCCTGACTGGTCACTGGTAGCTTCTTCTTCATCTTCACCTTCGCACATCACGTGCTCCACCAAACCCAAAAGCTTCCCACCATGCACCAAGCGCAACAGCTTCTCTTTCCGCCCAAACTCCAACTTCCATATCAAATCTTCCTGCTTCCCATCTGCTCCAGTTCTGGCAGCAGAAGAGAAAGAAGAAGCACCCCCAAATTTCCGTGGCAACCACTTCCGGCTTCAAAGAGACTACAACCTCCAGCAGCAGCCCTACCCGGCTTCAGATGCAGAGAATCTCAACGCATTCCTTCGTGGGTTGCTTCACGATCCCAGAACCGAAGCCTTGGCTTGTGACCACTACAGGAAAGCCAAGGAAAACCCACAGTTCAAGCCAGAGAAGTCCGTCGTAAAGCTTCTGGTGAAGTATCTGGTTCGAACCAAGAACTGGGATCGTTTGCTTCTGTTGCTTTCAGACGATTTCAGGAGGTACGATACTCTCCCCGACGCTTACACTTGCTCTACATTGGTCGAGAATTGCATCCGAGCTAGGAAATTCAGAATTTCTGACCGATTCCTCGTGATTTTCCAATCCCACCCTAAAGTCTCTGTTTTAGCTTTCAATTCCGCTATGAAAGGTTACAACAAGTTGCATATGTACGGCAGTGTGATTCGATTGCATGGTAAAATGAAATCTTCTGAAATCGGTTTGAGTTCTGGCTGCTATTACCAGGCAATGAAGGCACACCAGAAATTGGGCAATGCAGAAAACGTAGTTGCCCTGTTTGACGAGTTTGAATCTGAAGAGCTTGACCCAAAACTAGAAGTTGTGACCAAAATGTACAGAGTATTGACTGAATCACTAGCCAAATCAGGTAGAGCTTCTGAAGCTCTCGGTTACTTGAGAAGGAATAACAAGGAAGATGGTTTGCTTGTCGAGGATCCCAAAATCTACTCATCGTTAATCTGGTCATTTGCTGACTCCAATCAAGCTCGAGAAGCGGAAGAGCTATTTCACGAAGCGATAGAGAAGAACGCATTGCAAGACCCAGAGGCATTCTCGAAGCTCATCTCGATGTATATCGAGCGAGGTCAGGTGGAAAAGACTCTCGATGTTGTCAGTGCCATGAGCCACGATGCAAACGTCAAGGTTACCGATTGTGTGTTCTGTACGGTACTGAACGGTTTCGCCAAAAGGAGAGGCTTTTCTGCTGCAATCAAAGTGTACGAGGAGATGATAACCAAAGGGCATGAGCCAGGACAGGTGACCTATGCATCAGCGATCAATGCATACTACCGTGTGGCAAACTATCGCACAGCAGAGAAGGTGTTTGCAGAGATGCGCGAGAAGGGTTTCGACAGGTGCCTTGTGGCGTACTCCACCGTGATCGCGATGTACGGGAAGATGGGTAGAGTTACGGATGCAATGCGGCTGTTGGGGGAAATGAAGGAGAGGAAGTGCAAGCCCAACATATGGGTGTACAATTGCTTGCTTGAGATGCACGGTAGGGCGATGAATGTGAAGCAGGTGGAGAAGATATGGAGCGAGATCAAGAGGAGGGGAGTAGGTCCCGACAAGGTCAGTTATACTAGCCTCGTGAGCGCATACAACAAGGCAAAGGACTTCGACAAGTGTGTTGAGTTTTTCGAAGAGTACAGGAAGGTGATGAATGGCGATGGTGTGGATAGGAAGATGGGAGGGATAATGGTGGGGGTATTCTCAAAGATGAGTTCGATAGAGGAGATGATGAAGCTGTTGAGAGACATGGAGTCAGTTGGGACGGGATTGGATGCGAGGCTTTATGCAACGGCTTTGAATGCATTGAGAGACGCTGGGCTCGAGTTGCAGTCAAAATGGTTGAAGGAGAGCTTTCAAGCTACTTGAGTAGAGTATACCCTTTTGATTTAGTATCCTTTTCACTTCAGAATCCCTGTTGTAGCTCAGTAGCTAGCATCTTATAGTGTACACTGTACAGAAATGGTTGTATAGTGGCGCCTGTGATGATATAAATGGAAGATTTTTCTGTAATGTTGTCAGAGATTAGCGAAGATCATCATTATTAGCTGACATAACTGAGGAGATACAGAGACCAAAGATTGGTTTAACAGGCAGATGGTGGATAAGATAACTCAGAAAATAGGGAAATAAATACTAAACATTGGCTCATAATACAAGGGCAACCCTTTATTTGACACTCTTTTTCCTTCTACAGCAAGCAACTAGCAATGCCTGCCGGCAGTTCTGAAATAATGGAACTGAGATTACTTCCCACGCAAGGCAGCCCCCGGAACCCAGCTGTGCTAAGCTCATGGGAGGGTGAATCCTGTACAGAAATGGTCACAATGTTAATCAGTCAGCCGTCAAGCTTTAATTTTTAACAAATTTGTCACACCAAAGTTATGAAATTTCTTAGCATTACCTCCACACTTCTTCCCAGCCGGGCGGTTGCGAATGTTGCAGCGTTTGGGGATGGTGATGGCGACCCCAGGATTGATTCCAGCCTGCTTGGCCAAGGGGGACAGCAGCACGGCGCAAAGGCACTTGGGAGCCGCCTTGATCAGCCCGCCGACTTTGGAGCAGCACGCCGGCGGCACAGCTGCTCTGGCGTTCCGAGCAGCGCTCAAGCACGGGCTCAGGCTCGCCGCTGCAGCCCCTATTGGTGTCTTCCCGCAGGCACTGCCGCCTCTGCCACCACCTCGACGTCCTGCCGCTTCAACATTGATCATCGTGTCAGCGTTGGAAAGGAACAGAAGGGAGAGTATGGCAGCGGCAGCAAGCCAATTCGCTCTAGCGGCGGCCATGATCAATATGTAAGTAAGCAGTAATTTGAATGGTGTGATTTCTTCTGAAGTGAAGAGATTAGGTAATGGAGTAGTAGTAGTGCAGAACTGTGTGTGCTTAGCTAGTTGGGAGGGTGGGTGTATATATATAGTAGTGGAAGGATCACTCACTGAAGTGTGAACTCGTAACAGCAATTATGGTTCCTGCTAATTAATTAGTCTTTTGGTATAGATTACCGACATCACCATCATCTCACCCACGCAGGCTTACCATATTTGAGTGATTTCGTATTTGCTTTGGAGAGATCCTGGAGCTCTTGTAGGGTTTATGAGTTCCTTAAGAGTAGCTATTTGGCTTTTGAAGTGTGAAGTCGGTTGGTTGAATGTTGGTAGGGTGAAATTTACAATTGAATGCAGTTTAACAAATACATTGTTTTTCGTTCGACACTTTTTTGATGTATTTGAGTGCAATTATACACATACAATAAATAGTATTTGGAAACTTCATAAAAATGAGACTCACGCAACATGTTCTTTTTCGCTGTTCTGGCACAATTTTTCGATATAAAATGCACCGAACTAAATATTGTTTTTGCGAATAGCCAAATATATATATATAATCATGTCATTCAACAAATAACATAAATTTACGAATCCAAATCCACCTATAGCTTATTTAAAGAAGAGTTCACTTGTCACTAATGTACCACCATGTATGAACGCAAGAACAGCGGGATGGCTGGCCTGGCTAGTGGGGTGGGTGGTTGTACGTCTGGGAGAAAAAGCTGAGTCCATAGTGGAATCCTCCCATCATTTCATTGCGCAATTACTCTTCACTTTAGATGCAGTTTTGACACGGGTCGTAGTAATGCAGAACCATGATTTGGTTGGTTGGTATTTCTGATGACTAATCAACAAACTAGCTGCACCGGCTGCTTCCATTGGTTCGTAGGATACCGTTATATACAAGCATCTGCCTATCTGAGATCGTGTCTTTGAGCTGCGTTTGCTCACTGTCGACAGGCGAACAAGTTCTGTGGGAATACCTCATCATGACTCAATTCAGTCCTCTAGTCTTTTTCTTCATCACTAGGGACGGAGGAGCTGTCCACCTATAACTGGTTTAGTGAAATCGAACTCATCCAAGTAGCTCAAATTGCTGAGAAACCACAAAGTTCAAGACAGCACCAGCTCGTGCATCCCAACTCTTCGCCTTCTCAATGGCGGGTTGATCGTTGCCGAGTATCTGCACCAATCCACAACCCCAATGTACCACGCCAAGCAATTGATCGCAACGCCAATATGTCAATCATGTACGGATCATTCATAGTTTCATACCCTCCCCACTATCCACGACGTCTCCTCACGGCGACCCAATGCATCCTGCAACATCATATTCCACATTGCATCATGAGACCCTTTCTGCGAGACAGAGATGAGGCCTAAACATTCTCTACGGTGCATGAACATAAAACAATAATGCCTAAACACTAAAGACATCACAACATACCAACCAAACTTGGGAGTGATAATCTGAACATGCTATTGTTGGAAAAGATCAATCCTAACCAAGCTTACAGATCTAGTTCTATTTCATTGCCATACTGTAGAGTAAAATGTAAGTAGATTTTTGGCTTCTCCATGCATTTTTCAGATAATGAGTACCAAAGAAAAGATCATAAAATAGCATTGTATCACCATCATATTTCTTCTCTTGATATCTCAATTTAACAAACATAAAATTAAAGCACTTAGCCGTAACACTCACCTAAAGCCTTTGTTACAGGAAAAGTAGGAAGCAAAGACAAGAATTAGTTACGGAAGAACCTGAAGGAAAAAAGATGAGTTGTATCATCACTTTCTTCAGAGGAAGTGTGAGATAAATGTGCAGAAAGGTCAAGAAATAGGTAAATAATAATCCAGGATATTAAAAAAATAAAGTCATGAAACTTATGTACAGTGAAGAATAACACAGAATCCCGACATTAGCCTATATGTTAGTAAATCCCACACAACATCAGCAGTTGAGAGTTTACGATTCACGGACATAAAATTCATTCTTCTAACAAACCCTAAATTAGATCAGCAAATCTCCGATCCACTTTGTTTACGTTCAATTCCACTAAAAAAACACATTTACACCTAAGTAAAAATCATAGAATATGCTGAGCACCGGCCTAATGTATATAATAAAGTCTTTAAGGATTCATCTGTTCAAATAGAGTGAGCATACACGATGACCATATGCTCCCCAAGTTGAGATTTCAACGAATTAAAGATGACTGAAAGCATTTCTTTAGACACTTTTATTTAGATTGATAAAGATTAGTAGTTAAACAGGATAAAAGAACTTACTTCTGGTTTAGACTTTAGAATATGTCAACTCCTTCATCTTTACTCACGTCTAGAGATGCAGGCAAATGTCATTATTTCACCTATTGTGAACACCCTTCTAGCATAGCATCTTTGAGGGCCATTACATTTAACATCAATCAGCTCAATACAAGTGGACATATCAAAAGCAAATAAGCTTCATTCAAACATCTTACTGAAAAGTAAATGATTGCTCCTAGAAATTAGATTACCTGAGTGGCGAGAACCTCTAAAGCAGAGCTGAAATCCGGTTGAAGAGCTTCTACTTAACATACTGCATATAATTCTCAGTAACCCATGTGTACCTGAAGACCAGACCTGATGGCCAAACAACCACAGGGTGCTTGGCCAAATTTTTTGGTCCTGGTGCCGATCGCATCCTCGGGGGCCATTGCAGCTTTGGCTATATAGTTGATTGAGGTCATGTGAGAGCTCCTTAATGAGACGCTTTCTAGAACATCTCACCCACCCGACCACAAAAGCACATCAAGCATCACTCCATACATAGGCACCATGCATCCTCCACATGTGGCTTAGGTGCCCTAACGTCACCCTGGAGCCCAAGGAGCTCCTCCACCTGATGCCAACAACTAACCCCTGATGCCTCAGCCTGCCACTGACTCAGCTCGAGAAACCTATAGTTCTTTGAATAACATAAGAACTAACTTGGGAAATCAAGCAAGATATTAACCACCACAAAAATATGGCATTCCCACTTTCCGGAACACATTTCTGAAATCTCCTCTTTGTTTCCGTGGAAGTTGCCCGTTCAACATACAAGAACCTTCAAACAAAGAAGACAAATAAAAGAACAATACACGCAAGGGACCTCAGTAAAATGTACACATAAGAAAGAAGTCAAATGCATTAGACTAGACTTAGTGTATATCACATGATCAAGAATACTTGTATCTAACTGGCTTACTTACTATTTCCATAAGAGTAACAAACAGGTTTTGACAGCAGCATCCAGGCTTCCCTCCTCAACTTGGTTATGTAAGGTAAATGCTCCTTGGAGAATCTACACTGCTGTAGCCTGGAGTCTTCTTCAACTTTCTATGGGTCATCAAGTTTCTGATCTTGCAATTCTTGTGCCATAGGCCAGCTGTAGCATATATATTCCCCAAAACTGTATAATTGACTGAAATGTCAGGATTCAGATTGATGAGATGCATTGCTGCAGTCTCAGCAAGGACGACGTTACCATATGATAAGCATCCCCCGAGAATGGCACCCCACAAGGAGGCATTCGGTGTAATATTGTTCCTACAAATTATACTGTATGCTTCTTCCAACTGCCCTACACGGGCAAAGAGATCAACCATACAAGAGTAGTGCTCAGCTCGCGGTAGGATATTGTGTCTGTTGATCATACTATTAAAGAATTCTGATGCTTCCTTATTTAATCCAGAATGACTGCAAGCAAAGAGACCAGACAAAAAAGTAATGTCGTTCGGCGCTAAACCTTCATCTTCCATCTCCTTACACAATGAAATTGCCTTGCTTCCATATCCATGTTTTCCATACCCACTAATCAGCGATGTCCATGAAATGACATTTTTCTCCTTCATCTCACCAAAAGCGCGGTCTGCATCTTCAATTTCTCCCGACTTTGCATACATATCAATGAGAGAATTTCCTACAGCCACATCATAACTGGGTTTATTTTTAATAGCAAAGGCATGAAGCTGTCTACCTATTGTTAATGATGCTGCATTAGCACACATATTGAGCACCGAGCATAGCATGACATCATCCATTTTCATATGCTGCATCCTACACATCTCTTTGAATAGATTCATAGCCTCTGTTCTATAGTTGTTTCGAGCGAATCCATTCATCAACGCAGTACAAGATGTTAAATCTTTCACTTCCATAGTCTTGTACAAGCAATTAGCACTCTCTAGACCCCCACATCTTGCATATGCATCGATAATTGATCCAATCAAATCACGGTGTCCTTCAAAACCTAGTTTCTCAACGAATCCATGTACCTGACTGACTTTGAGGAAATCACTAGTTCTTCCAGAAACCTTAAAAAGACTCCCCAAAGTGAAGCAATCAGGTAACAAACCTATTGAATGACAAGTCAGTATAATAGGTTAGATTTGGCTACATACACTAAGCAAAAACCAGCTGACTGGAGTGGAAGGCCATACATTTATATAAAATAGTAAGCAACACGATTGCAACAAAATCACTGGCAAATATAGCATTCATACCTTCTGCCATCATGACACGAAACAGTCGAAAAGAATCATCACCAAGACCCTGAACAGAATATCCACCAATCATTGCATTCCAAGAAACCAAATCTCTGTCAAGCATTGTCTCGAACAAATAACAAGCATCTTCCATCCTTCCACACTTAGAATGCAAATCAATCAATGCACTTTGCACAAACAAATTGCTGACAAACCTACTCTTCTGTACACAACTATGTATTTGCAACCCTCTCTTGAAACATAGCAAACGAGAAGACGCCCTTAACACGCTAGCATAAGTAAACTGATTGGCCTTGACCCCCACTCTATGCATTTCTGAAAACAACAGCAGAGCATCTTCATGACACTCATTTTTTCCATAACCTGATATCTGAGCTGTCCAGCACACGACATTCCTTACAGTCATTCTATCAAACACTTTACGACCAGCTCTGGAATCACCAATCTTTGCATAGAAGATGATTAATTTGGTGTTTAAATGAGGATTTGAGACAAACCCATTTGTTACCATATGAGAGTGAGCCAAAAGGCCATGCTTTCTAGCTCCTCGCAGGATGCAACGTTGCAAAAATTTGTCATAGTCAAAGGAATCAGCAGCTTGCTGGAGCAAATGTCTCGTGCAAAAACAACGCACATTCGTTGGCTTCAAAGCTCCAAAGTGGTGTGCGTCTAAAAGGAAGCTGGCCACTTTCATCAGCAAAACCATCCTCCTGGTCCTTTATACTAAACCAGAAACCGGACAGAGACGAGTCAGCAGAGTAGGGGAAAATTGAAGACAGAATCTAACAAACAAGTAATCATAGATAGAAAGGTTTTTCAGTTCAAGTGCACCTGGAGAGAAAAGTCGATTGCTTTTCCACTTGAGGCAAACTCTGTCTCCATGCAAAATCATGAAAGCCTCAGTCTCTCATGAATTTCATCAAACAGGCTTGGAAGCACATACGTACTAAAGGCAAAGCTTAGTACCTAAAAGCAATTAGGAAGGGAGAGGAGTGGATACAAGATCAGGCTTGAAGATTTTATGGACGATGGAGGCGCCAAAGAGAAGGGAAATTATGACGACACCACATGACCTCGCAAGTGACTCGAATTTCTTCCCCATTCTCTCCCTCGGCAATCCACCCATTGAAGATTAAAAAAAAACTTATTTACAATTTCCGACAATAGCCCACTTCGCCGGATTCGGAATCTGATCCGATTGGATGATTGGCAGCCGGAGCTGGTAGGGTCGTCGGTGGATATATCGGAGACTGGTCTGGCGGCCGGAGAAGATGATCGATTCGACGCCGGAGGCCGGATGCGCTCCCACTGACTGAGATCGGCCCATACAGTAAGAAAGATATTAGACATTACCACTACCACTGGACTGAGATCGGCCCACTAGAAGAACCCGAGCGAGGCACCTGGTTCATATTTTCCCTTTGATCTGTATTGAATAAAATGGGCTCAGGCCCGTAACATCCCCCAACACAGGCCCAGAACATCGTCCAAGCTCCAAACCATCGACTTTTAGTCTTCCTCCCTTCCCCTCTCTCCTTTCCTCCGTTCTTCGTCAACATCGCAATCCCTACTCTGCAGATGGCGGGAGACAGCAAGGTTTCATCAACCCGAAAATCGACCGCCGAAACGTCTTCCTCCAGCCCGTTCTAGCTCACGCCCTAGCTAATCAACAGTAAAGAAACACCGGAAAAAGGTTCAGGGCGTTGGCGGTTTCAAGTTTCAACCTTTCGGGTTTTGCAGATAACCCTTTGTAGAAAAGGTAATTTCCCACTCTTATGTACTACTTGCAGAATTGAGAAGCTAGGGATGTCGATAGTTCATGGTATCACCAGTTGGTTAGGAGTTAATTGTTTGCATTTTTGTTAAGAATATAGATAGGCAGTGAAAGGATGGCGCGGGTGCGTGAAACGAGAGCCGATAGAATTACCAACCTTCCCGTGGACGTGCTAAATCGGGTTCTGGTGTTGTTACCCATCAAAGACGCTGCCAAAACTAGTATATTGTCAACAAAGTGGAGGCATCAATGGAGAAGTATCCCCGAACTTGTGTTTGATGGTAGCTTCCCCGTTGGACCGGGTGGATCTCCATCAACTTCCATGATGAACAAGACAATGTTCAACATTTTCAAAGCTCTGCTGCTCCATGACGGTCCAATAAAGAAGTTTGTGATTGCGTTTCCCGGATTAAGGTCATGCTACGGGAATGCGATTGATGAAATCGTTCTCTATCTTTCTCAAAGACATCTCGAGGAGTTCGCGCTTCCCTGTGCTGCTGGTGATGGTCAGAAGTACAAGTTACATTCTTCCTTGTTTACTTGTCTTCAACTGAACATGCTGAGACTTAGGCATTGCGAACTTGGACAACCATCGTGGTTTGTGGGTTTTGGTAAGCTTATGTCTCTCGTGTTGATGAGTGTAACGCTGCCCTCTGATTTCTGTGAGAATTTCCTTCTCAAGTGCCCGATGCTTAAAAGGTTGAGGGTTACGGATTGTGATGGTCCGAGTAATCTTGAAATCGTGGCTCCACGTCTGGTATGGTTCCGTTTCTCGTATAGGGATCCACAGAAAATATGCTTTAAGTGTACTCCTCTTTTAGTTAGTCTTAGATTATGCTGGAACTTCGAGAAGACTGCAGATATGGTAGCTTTGCTTGCTTCTCTCCCAGCACTCAAAGAATTTAATGTCGACTTTGGACTCCCACAAGTAAGTTTGTTTGTCTGTTCTCCCACTTATATAACCTTTTCCCCATTATTTCGGTTTCTTTCTGGTACTCATTTGGATTTGTCTCTGAATTAGAACATTGCTGTAGGTGTTAGTGATGTCCCCAGTAGGCTTCCTGCTCCTCTTCACCGGTTAAAACGCCTCCATACCTGGGATCTTGACTTTAGAAGCTTGGAGACAGCGCGTTTTTTTGTTTGTCTGATCATCAGTTCCCCCAACTTGCGTGAGCTAACAATTAAGGTTAGTTTCTGTTGCCGGCTACTGAGAAGTTCTATATATATATATGGGCAATCATGGTCTTTGGCCTAACTTGAGTACATGACAAATGCGCGTGTAGCTGCGCAGAAGCAAGCCAAGTCAGCCCGCCGCAAATAGGGATGCGACGACAACAAGCATAGGAAGCCTGTTGGAAGCGGAGTACCGCCATGGATCCGGTGATTGTTTTCTGCAGAAGCTTAGAGTGTTCAGAATCGAGAAATGCCTTGGTACGCAGGTCGAGCTCGACCTCGTGAAGTTCGTGTTAGCCACCGCTCCAGTACTCGAGAGGATTCACATTCCGCCGTTGCGTAAGTTAAGCTCTGGAAAGATTGTCGAGTTCATGAAGGAGATAATGAAATATAAGCGTCTTTCTAAAGAAGCCATGGTTATATATAAATCAAAATGACAGAGTTGTAGTAATGCAGCACCCGGGTCATTAGCCTAATGTTCTCAGGTGGGTTTTTTTTTAATGTAATGTTCTAGCTTAATGTGGTTTGGATATTCGTTGTCTCGACGCTATGAAGCCAATTATTATGATGTAGTATGATATATTATATTTATGTGATGCTATGAGATACCGGATTTGCCCCCTAATTACACTAGTTCTTAAAAAAATTTCCCAAAAACAGTAGGTTTTTATAAAAATTCTTAAAAAACACATGTTTTGAGCAAATCGCTTGAGACAAAACTGATCTATCCATTAATCGTTTATGACAAACGCGGTCAAAAGTAAATCGCTTCTAACAAAAGCGATCATGAGTTGATCGCCTCTGAGTTAAGCGATCTATGGTTGCTGGTCATTGTCCGTTTCTTCTCTTCATCTCTCCATTCTAATATCATATAATAAATCCGAATTTGAGATGTTTAGGTTAAAATCTATTAGTTGTTGAGTGGCACTGATCCATTGTGGAATATGTTTGTAAGATGAGCTCTTATTGGGTGATTAGTAGAGGTGGCAATTAGGATCCAAATCCATGAATCCAATCCAATCCATCCACCAAATTATCCACCTAATCCAATTCATTTAAATCCAATCCATTTGATCCAAATCCAATTGGATTGGTGGATTCATGGATCAATCCATGGATCCAAATGGCAAATTACGATTTGGTACCTATATTTTTTATATTTTACATTTTGGTACCTAAAATTTATATTTTTATACGAAAAATATCACTGAAAAATTACATTTTGGTACCTAAAAATTTTCATTACGACATTTTAGTACCTAAACTTTTCAAAATTTACATTTTGGTCCAAGCCTTGAATGTCATTTGGATTCATGGATCAATCCACCAATCCATTTGATCCAATCCATGAATCCACCAATCCATTTGATCCATGGATCCACCAATCCAATCCACGAATCCGATCCAATTGCCACCTCTAGTGATTAGTGACCATTCTTTAAAGCCATATAAGGAAACGATGACTTAATATCTTTTCAGCTATCGTTGGCGAAGCCCTCGGTTTTATCTTATTAGCCAACGAGCTATTACACTGCATTTTGGGTTTTGGACAAACACCAAAACCTTGGTAAATTAGTATGTGGTGGCCGGACCACTTTTGATATCGTAAAGTCAAAAGCATTACATAAACAAATAAATTAATTACCTCTTTTGATCCAAATATACTGGTTTCTGTCCTTACATTTTTGGATCCTTTACCATTACTATAAATAAATTCTCAATTTATCATTCATAACCAATAGCTGGGAAGAAAAAACCAATTTATATTTCCAACTAATTTGCTTTGGTGTAGTCTATAGCTATCAGATCATTTAATTCAATACCACACTGACTAAATTCGTATCGTCATTTTTCATACTCTTACATTTAGAGGTACGAATGCATATAGTTTAGGATAAGAAATACAACCTCTCTTAATATTTTGTCTTTGATAATTATAATATGAACATAAATAAAATTTGTATTGTCATTCGTCGTACGCTTAGATTTAGAGGTGCATTTACGTTTAATTTAGGAGAAGAAATACAACCTCACTTAATATTTGACTTTGGGATAATTATAGCATATGTATATGTGTCAATGTGTGTTGAGCAAATTTGAAAACTAATACGACGGTAAGATATCAAGTTATCAATACTCTTTTTCGAAATCGACCGATGAGTTGCAGATTCTCCCCGCTCTAAAGTTTAATATTGCAACTACTCAAACTTAGACTAGTGGTCAAACCTAATGGACCATAGTAATCTTAGCATATGATATAATAAAATGAAAATAATTGTCAAAACACGCATTGAAAACAATGAGGTTATATTGTTATTGAATCCCTCCATTATCAAAGTAATATTTCCCTATATATTTCCAAACCACGGCCACAATCAAGGTCATCAACAAACATTACATCGTATAACTAAATACCAATCAACACAACTCCTAAACCAAAATCCCCAAGCAAAAAATAAATCTAAATGGTCGGGAAAGTTCACAACGGGAAACAAAACCCACGTAAGTCCTTCCAAGTCAAGAAAGGGAAACCAACTTTGGTCTCGCCGGCGGCTGAGAAAAATAAAGGAAGCGTCTACTTCCTCTCCAACGTCGACGGCGACCTGTCCAAGGTTCTCACCCGCACACTCTACTGCTTCAAGTCCGGCGGTCCATCCGCCGCAGAGGTGATCAGGAACGCGTTGAGCAAGGTTCTCGTTCACTACTACCCTCTCGCCGGCCGGCTTGTCGCCTCGCCGGAAGGAAGGCTCGCGGTGAGCTGCACCGGCGAGGGGGTTGTGTTCGTGGAGGCCGAGGCGGATTGTGCGCTGGATGACGTGGACTTCTCGAAGCCGGATAAGGCCACACGTGGCAAGCTGGTTCTATATGATGTTCCTGGCGCGAGGAACAAATTCGAGATCCCTCTAATGGCTCAGGTACACAAATTTTGGTCTCCTCTCCGTCACATAACTTTCTCTCCGTACTATACTTTCGGTGGAACAAAAATACATCATATATATTTATATCGGTAATGGAACACAACACTTATAGGTAGTATTAGAGTACTTTGTCACTACAACACAACTCATTACTTGTACAAAATTGACATAAAATTAATTTTATTATACTATAAACGAAATTCCAATTGTAATAAAGACCTAGCCGGGTCTCTTTTTTCCTTATGCCTATTCGATCTTTTCCCCAATAACCCTAAAATTGTCTAGCAACAACAACAATCCCACTAGTTTTGATCTACCAATTACAACTGCAAGTGTAAAAAGAGCATTTTTCAGTTTTGAGTTATATTAAGTTTCTAAGTCGATTTGGCGACCAGTTTACTAATACTTATTTAGTAAGATACATTGAAACAGACTTATATAATAGTGTAGACAACGAATGTTTTTGCGTTTCTTTCACAGTATGAAATTCCTTCGTAGTTGTTTCTGGAAAGTATGATTGTATAATCGATTATTTTTAATTTATGAATGAATTATTTGGATGTAATTCTTTTTTATTAAATAATTCTTTTATTAGATACTTATATATTTACGTTATGAAAAACAGGACATGAATGGTTTGAAATGCTATCCCGCCACTGTATGACCACAATATTAATTTTGGTTCTCTTTTCTTAAACATCAGGTGACCAAGTTCAAATGTGGAGGATTCGTGCTGGGAATCTCCTTCAATCACGTACTCGTCGACGGCCAGGCCGCTGTCGAATTCATCGTCTCCTGGGCCGAAACGGCCCGAGGACTGCCGTTGTCCGTCCCGCCGTTCATCAACAGGACAATCCTCGAAGCTCGAATCCCGCCGAAAATCGAGTTCCTCCACCCGGAATTCATCCCCATCGAAGACAAATCCTCTCCCTCTCCCTCCACCACCACAATCAACAACAAAGACGACACCGTCTCCAAATACATCAAATTCACCCCACAAATGATCCAAACGGCAAAATCGAAAACAACCCACGAATCCACCAGTCCAATCAAACCCTGCTCCACCTTCGAAGCCCTCGCCGCCTTCGTGTGGCGAGCCCGAACTCGCGCCCTCGAAATGAATCCAAATCAGCTGACGAGAATCCTCTTGGTGGTCAACACACGTGGGAAATTCTCGCCGCCGTTGCCGAAAGGGTATTTTGGGAACGCGATAAAGTTCGCCCCGGCGCACAGCCTGGCGGGGAAGCTGGTCAAGAAGCCGCTTTCCTACGCCGTGGCGAGAATCCAGGAGGCGGTTCGAAGCGTGAACGACAAGGTTTTGAGGTCGACGATCGATTACCTCGAGGCGGCGGCGACGAAGACGGGAGATCAGAGGCGGTTTGATGGATACGGCGTGATCACGGTGTCGCAGTGGTCGGGCTTGTCGTTCTCTACGACGGATTTTGGGTGGGGGGAGCCGTTTTTGAGCGAGCCGGTGGAGAGTGAACGCACGATCGTGTTTTTGAGGCATCCGACGGAGAAAGGGAGCTTCAATGTGCTCGTTGGTCTGCCGGTTCCGGCGATGGAGAGGTTCGAGGAATTGGTGCAGGAAGAGCTCTGTGGATAGTTCTTTTTTTAATGTGTTAGAGACGTATATACTACAAACGTGAATTGCATGGAAAGTAACGTTAAAAGTTCGTAGTTTATTACGGTGGTCAATTAGGTTTCCAAGATGTGTGAAATATGTATGAATAAAAAAATAATTATTTGATTTAATTTATTCAAAAAAAAATCAGCCTTGTAATTATCTCTTATCTCAGTTAGCTTCGTAGATGAATCTGTAATCTGTATATAGGGATGATAATGGGTCGGGTTTTTACCAAACCTATACTCTAATCAATGAGTTTATCAATAAAAAAATTGGGGTAAAATTTATTTGGTTTGGAAAAATCAAACCCAACTCAATCCGCTGGGTATTGTTACGCGGAAGATTCTAGAGCATTCTAGAACGATGCAAGTACATGCATGCATCTTCCGATTCATGCACCAATGTACATGCATCCCCCTTTTTCTATCTTTATTCATGTATCTCATTTATTACATTCATGTATGGGGCTAGTTCATGTATGGGGGGACTATCTAGGTTCGTTCATTTATGACGACCATGTTTCATTGTACTTAGTGGAGAGGATGCCTATATAAGCAGCCCTCTCCACCACTTTTCATTCATCCAGAAATAGAGAGATTTCCATCTATAGAGTTTTCTTCAACACTTGTGAGTTTGAGTGAATACGAGCAAGGCTGACTTAGCGCTCTAACGAGACTTGAGAGCTAAGTGCCGCACGGCCAAGAGTTGGTCCGTGACAAGTGGTATCAGAGCCAAGGTCGTAGCTCATCAAGTGAGAAAGAACCTCGAGGAGATGGCTGGATCCGGAAGCGAAGTTCTCAACAATGAGGAACATCGCGGTCGTGAGGAGAAGAAGGATCCAAATGCCAAGAAGAATCGTGATAGATCAACTCGAGAGCCTTTGGTGGCGATCGAGGAGAGGCTCAAGAGAGCAGAGACGAAGATTGCCAAGCATACAACCTTGTTCGAGGACATGGAGTCGAAATTCGATCAAGTCAGCGGAGAGGTGCAGACTTCGAAGGACGACATGCTAGGCATGGGCACTCGAATGTCAGGCTTGGAGGTGGGGTTAGAAGCATTCAGAGACGAGTTTGTGA